TTCAACTCGGAAAATGAATGAAACAGAAATCAAAAATATCAAAATAATAAGGTAGAAGATAAAAAAGAGAGAAACGTGTGCTGGATACATCAGAAAAATATGTTTTAATTTATTTTAAAAAAAATATAGATCTTTCTAAACTGAATAATTGTAAAGATTCCAAAAATAAATTTTTACTTACAAAAGAATGATATAGCCACAATCGAAATCATCATTTTCCCCTTGCATGTCTAATTTCGGAGATATTTAACTATAACGTTTAATCTGGGGTATTTCGTTGTGTTGTCACGTGCTCGCACAAAAACATGATACGCGAAAGATTGAAACAATCATGAAATTAATTCATTGAAACTCTCGCTTCTCGTTGAACAACGGCGCATTGATACGAGCGATCATCGAAACAAACACACGGCGACACGCAAAATGATCGCAGCAGGAGGCGCTCTATAAATCCCCCTGGCGTGATATCGAATCGCTCGTATAAATGCGACGGCCTCCGGGGGCTGATTCGTGCCACCCCCGTTAATATCCTTATAATTGGTTAAAACCCGTAACTGATGAGCGGACTGTAAGTTATTATGCGAAGCGAGACCCTTGGTTCGCTTGGTTCGGCGATGGGGGTTTACGGGATACGGTTCGACACCTCTTCATTACTCTCTTCATCCCTCCATAGAGCCAACGGCGGCGTGTCGATGCGGATGCCGGCATTATGGCGGCCTCCGTATTGTCATTGTATCACGGATCACCGAGGATCGTTCGCTCCACTGCGGGATTCACGCAAATGTTCGCACGACTGCGCTGATACGCGCAAAAATTCGTTCGATATACATTTCGGGCGCGCTCCACTCGAGATCAGATTTATTGAGAGGAGATCTATGGCGGATTTACAGAAATCATGGCAATCATTGAATTTATTTCAATGCTCTGCGATGCACCGTACGCGGACTTTTTAGTCCCCTACAAGAGAACACTGTACAATATCTCGAGATTGACATATACTATGATATTTAAATTTATTTTTGCGATATATTTGGTAATAATGATTATGTTAAAAATTAAATTTTAATAAACGCAACAGAAAAGATAATCGATTTCATCAATGATTATTCATTACTCTGCATCATTTTTTTTTATCTTGCTTCCAGTTAATATTATACATGTTCTTTGTCAGATTTTTAATTAAAAAATGAAAAGGTTTTAATATTTTTTAAATTAAGATTTATATTAAAATATTTTACAAATGATTAATAAAAATATTATTAATGTCCGACAAATAACAAAGTTTTCCATGAAACTTTAATATGCTTTATTTGCTTTCTAAATAATATTCTCTTAGACAGCGTAGAATCCCTAGCTTGGGTGCTCCTTAAACGTCGTGAACGATGATTTTTAGCGATTTCACGGTACACCAATTTTGGCAGGGCGGTTCCTTCCTTCGTAGAGCAAAATTCCAAAACCGGAATCGTGGTAGAGCGAGCGAACTTAAAAGACGACCGACGCGGTTACTTTGCAATCTATCCTTCGACAGGGAAAATATATTCGTGGTTCAGGGAGCTCGTAATAGAAGCAAGAAGCCGGCAACTCAAGAAGCAGCACGACATCGGTTCCAGGTGTTAATAATCCCGTGGTAATTGTGCCTCTGCAGTGCGGATAATTCCTATTAAATGCCACTAAATACTTGTTTGTATACAAATCCCGCTGCGCTACACCGGGACTCTTTTATACTTCTCTCGAGGATAACCGAGACTTCCTGCCGTTGTGTCGATGAAAATGGTATTTATCACTTGCTCTGTGAATTCAGTACCGTGATAAAATTAGAAATAAATACAAAATGTATTATAAAAATTCTTAGTATATAATACTAATATACAAGAATACGATAATGAATGAAAATTTAATTAAAAAATAGGGAAAGAGAGAAAAAACTGTATTTACCTCTTTTTGCAATATTTCAACATCAAATATCTTTGCAAGCTAGTTCTTTGATGACACGATTCTTCAGAATCAGAGTACGGCGTATCCAATATCATACCATCAAGTCTAGATGCATTACTGAGATATGATGCGTCGCGTATCGACCACGAAAGTACATTTCAATGGCGGGCATCCGTGTTACATCGCAAACATCGCCACATTCCTCATTGACACGTAACCCGAACGACGCCCTATAGAGAGCCCGTCGATCCCATAACGAGCGAGCAGTGCCTGATAAGAGACAGGGTGGCCCCGATGGTTCGGATGAGCTCGGATTTAATGGATGGATGAAGGATAGATTCTGCAGATACATCAGAGGACCGGCGCGATATCTCGCGCAAACATCAGGACGAAAGCACGTTACTCTCTCTCTCTCTCTCTTCCTCTATCCCTCTGCAACCCCCTTAACCAGCTACCCCTGATCGGCCTCCGACTCTTTCACGCAGCTACTATCTTCCTCTTGGATGCTATACTTTCGTTTCTATCCCATTCGAAATCGCGCAGTCTCTGTTTCTCTCTCGCTCTCTTTTCTCTTCTATCTCTCATGAACGGATCGCATCGCCTCTAATGGTGATGCATTCGCTTTATTTCTCTTCTTTTAACATTCTCTGTCGATCGGCCGACTCGTCGAGCCTTCTCTTTCGCGCTTGTTAGAAGATGGGATATCAAGGTGAATAATGTACTTAAGGGGTAGCTCTTGCGCGCTCGGCTGCAGTTAGATTAGGGATCGCTCGGATGATATGCCTGAGAGATTAGCACATGTACGCTCTTGTTATGTATATTACGCGTCGGGGATAAAACTTCTTTTCCATGTAATGGATACGCGATTAAGTATATGAGGCTCATGATATTTCCACTTTTTACACGTAACGGATATGTGTATCGAAATAATTAACTGCAAGTTCAATTAACGAAATTTCATTGACATCACTCTCATTCGAAATTATTGAATACCGTAATTCTCGAATTTAAATTAGCTGGAAGACTGGATGGTCTTAATTAATATCGACATATTTAATAATAAATATCTACTATTGGAGACGCGCGCTTAACATATTTTTTATATTATATATTTAAAAAATTCGCAGAAAGTATAATATTAATAGATATTTTAAAAATGATTAATTACAACATCAGTATTTAATATTGCATGCAAAATTAACAAAAAACATCTTGATAAAAATTATATTGAGGGTAAGAAAAATATATCTAATTATATTATTGAATTGTAATTTTTTGAAATTATGTCTTCGCTATTTGCATCAAAGAAAACTATTAAATCGGACTAATGACGCATATTAAAAAATACTTAAATTAAGTTGAGAAAAATAAATGATGATCCACTGGTATCGATGAATTTATTGCATCGGATTGATTCATATTTACAACAGGGACACATACATATGCATTTTCATCTACTCTACCGATTATCTACATATATAACTTTTCGTTTTTAATTACGCTTGATTAATTCACCGCGATTACCTGCCGCTTATCTAGCTCGCACAATGCATGCACAGACAAAAGTCCGTTACGACCCGCTTCGTTAAAACAAATTTTCAACACACAATAGAACAAACTATCCTCGTTGTATAATCAATTTTGTTTCGTATAACGCGGTGGTTCAGAATAATTATTTTATTGCATAAACAGAGAAAATAGCATTTAGTTTGCCTTTTTTCAGTTTTTTACGAGACGTAAATAAAAATGCATAGATGGATATACGATATTATATATAATAATAATAATTTTTTTATAAACATTCTTGATTCTATTGCAAAGCTCTTAATGATCGTAGTCACATTAGCCACAATGATCATGATTTAGCTCTAATAATTACAATAATAATAATAATAATAGTGACCAACATTTTATTTGCTATCTATATTCGCTTAAAGCTACTATCACACCGATTTATACATTTGCCTAAAAAGTAGATAGATATGCGATCAATGTGTAAAATCGCTCCGTATGCTCATACGTAATTCTAGATTCTTTTATCTATTTCGCGATACAAAAGAATCTCCTTTAATTTTCGTGTTCGATTATTATACATCAATTATATCCCAATAAAATAAAATTTTTATTTTAAATATACAATTTCTTAATAAAAATAACAATGACGAGAAAATGCGCAGTTTGTTTTGGAGGTTTTGAAATATGAATTTGTTGATTTATCCAAGTTACTCTGTCGGTAGTACTTTTTAAGGAGATTGAATTATTTCATATTATTTTTATGTTACAATGATCTATGATTATACAGAGAAAACATGGAAATATTGATTTTGAAACATGAATAAATATTACATTGAAAATAAATAGATATATAAAAGAATATCGATTTAGTTTTTACAATAAATGCAAATTTTGATTTTCAAAATCCTCGTCAGACAAACGCATATTTAGTCTAAACTTTTGTTTCTGTCACGCAACAGAGCAATTAATAATGGAACTCGGATAAACACTGCATGAGATCTGGACGAATTTTTGATAACTCTTTTGGACGATTTCACCATAACTCTCTCCGTCAGTCTCTGTGTTGAGACAGCCCTAATTACAAATTACTTTACTAATATCTCTCGTCCATCGTTTACGCGTTAATGTATTTGCTTTGCACATATATATATTTACAAATATTTACATATAAAATGTAATAAGCCCGCAGGAGTCCATTGATGCAGTCATCGATGCCCAAAATCGATCATTAAAACCCTTTCCAATTGACGAAGGGACTAATAGGGCAACTGCGTTCTGTTGGTTTATGGAATTATGCGATTGATTTCGTTCGCGCTACGAATTATTTGCACTATCCAATACGTCGTCTGGTAAATATCCCGCAAAATTACATATTGCCCAGACTGTTATAACGGGTACAATCCAGTTGGAAGTTTGACAATTATATCTCTATATACAGTATATTCTATGGACGCTAATAAAATGTAACGTAAATTTAGTCAAGAATTTTTAACGGTGAGATATTATAAAAATGTGGAAAAATCAATTTTGTGTGTGTGTTACAATATTTTTATATATAAATTTGAAAGAATAAATTTGATAAAAATTTAATTAACGTGTCAGAGTTACGTTATAAAAATAGAGAACTACCGGAAATACCGTTATCTCGATATACATATAAAGGTAAGAAAATCGAGTGATAATTTTATTTGAATCATTCGTTATATTTCGCTTTTCAATTTAACTTTAATCTCAATTTTTTAATCATGCAGATGAACAACCAACTGTCGAGATTTTATCGAACAAACCATCAATATTACTTATTTCTTGTTATATATTAAAACTTGTGTTGCACTTACAAGAGAGATTTTATCGGCTCTCGATCACGTTTTCAAAATGTTGTATACATTTTTTCTCAGTTAAATATATATCGTGAATGTATTTTCCGATTCATCGTTATGACAAAAGCGGGATATATTTTGTCCAAGCAAGAGATATCGGACGCAAATTCTTTGGCGTTTTTCCTCTCTGCCCTTTATTTCGAGGTTTGCGCTAATTGGCCCATGTCAGCCGAGTAGCAAGGTGAGCCGAGAATGAGCGGATACTGTGTCTTCCTAGGATAATGCATGTTTTCGCTCTGTCACAACATCTTACTAAGAGAATGGTAACTCGTAGATCCAGGCGGGGCAAGTATAAACGGATTGACAATCGAGTGTTCCGGACCATGGTACACCGACGAGTAGCCCGACTGCTGGTTATGACTCTGGCCCGAGGCGTCCAATCCGCTGAGAACCGGCGAGCCTGCGTCGTGCAGCTTCCGCATGTGCTTCTTCAGGTCGAAGTTCCTGCAGAAGCCCTTGCCGCAGATCTTGCAGGAAAATGGTTTCTTATCGTTGTGCGTGTGCATGTGGAAAGTGAGATTGTAGATCTGATGGAACGCCTTGTTACAGATGTTGCACTTGTACGCTTTCTCGCCGCTGTGCGTCAACTTGTGATTCTTGTAGTTGCCCTTCTGGTGGAATCCTTTGCCGCAGAACTCGCAGACGAACGGCTTAAAATTGGCGTGTATTCGCGTGTGGGTGTTCAGGGTCGAGCTACGATTGAACGCCTTGCCGCAGGTCACGCACTTGTGCGGCTTCTCGGCGGTGTGGATGATCTTGTGTCGGCAGAGGGTGCTCGCTTGCCGGAAACCCTTGCCGCAGATCTTGCAAACGAACGGCCGGGCGCCCGTGTGTACCGGCATGTGTCGCGTAAGATTGTAATGCGCGTTGAACACCTTGCCGCACTCCGGACAGGTGAAGGTCTTCTGTTTATTCACGGTGCCGAGCTCGCCGCGCGGCGCCGGACTCTTCTTCCGCTGATTCTCCGGCGACATGTTGGCGAGACTGAGCCTCGAGGATGCCTCCTGAATGGTCGTCGGAGGTGGCGAGCTCTGGGTGACCGAGGGGGTCGAAGCGGGTGGACCCGGGAAGGCCCTCAATAAGGGACTAGGATAGTACAGCGGATAGTATTTGGATAATACAGGGTAATGCTGCAGCAGATCCTGGTGCCTCAGTGTCGGGACGTACTTCTCGAACGCTGACTTCAGATGCGCCGAGTACGACGGAGAAGAGATGCTCGGTGGTTGTTGCAAAATTGTCGTTGCTGTCGTCGCTGGTACCGTAGGCGTTGCTATCTGATTAGCGTTTTGCTCGGTCAGTCGCTTGTCCGGCTCCATAATCTTCGCGATAGAGAAGGTGAGATTGCGACAGGGCGTTGGGGAGGTCACCCTCTCGGGCGGCAGGCTCGTCGGTGTCTCGGTCGCCATTGTGCTGCCCGTCGCGAATGGTTGCATGGTAGGCCTGCAATGAAAATACTGACTGTCAGAGACGGTATTTCCCGGGGCGTCGGGATTTTCATGGTCGAGGGTAAATCGCGTAGAGGGGTTGGGAAGAACACTCCCTACGCTTAACACCGCCTACTGATTTCTGTCGGGATTTTAACGCCCCGTGAGTATTTTGCCCGAGAAAAGTATTCTTTGTTTAGAAATGCTACATTTTTGTATGTTACGTGATTTAATTTGTCATAATTAAAATATAATGTTAATTAAATTAATGAAAATATTTTTTACTTACTCGTATGAATGTGCTACAATAATAAATAAATTTGATTATGTACATATGTGTATGTATTATTTCTCTCTCTTTCACGTATTTCATTTTCTCAATTAATCAAAATAACAAAAAATATTTACAAGAGAATTTTACTGAAAAACATAGTATAAATATATCCATATATACATATAAATACTTTCTAATTATTAGTCTAAATATGGGTACATTTAATTTGTTACTTCAAAATTTAATTTTTTAATTTAAAGTAATATGAGAAAGTAAATTATACATGAAATTTAAAAATATATAATAAAAAGCTATTCAGAGATAAAGATGTTAAATCGTTCATTATTCGTTGACAGCACATTCAATATGCGCTGGGCTTTACTAATCGTTCAAAGGGGGAATATCCAAATCATGGCGATCAATTTGATGACTTCGAGGGCCGCTAGTACTGGCAATTCTCCCTTCGCAGCCCCCACGTTAGTGTTTTAGCACACATCGAAACCCACATGTCAGTAAATCCGAGTGAAACATGTGGTACCGCTATTATATCCACTCAATTGGACCTCGCATTCACAGAAAGAGAAGAACGCCGGGTATAAAACAAGGAATAGAAGTAAACGTCGGCTTTTAACAAGAAAATGCGACGATTTACTATTCTCGAAACGATTCCAATATTTTCCACGCCATTTTCTACTCGTAAACATTGTCTCTAATTATTTTAATCGAAATTGGATGCATAATTTTTGAATAACACATAAGAGTTTTGTGTTATTCGGTAGTTTTATCATTTATTTAAGTTTCTCTCGTGATTAAAAAAATTATAGTCTAAATAAAAGACGATACAATTAACTTTTTACGAAACTATATGACACATTTGTTATTCCTAATACAGTACACATTTATATTGTTAATATTATATTTTCAAATACTCAATGAAGTGTATCTTTCGATGAAACGCATCTTACTGCCAAAATGAATATTTAATAAGGTATAGATATTTGAATGCAAGTGACAGCTGTATATGTGAGCACCCATTAAGCATATGCAATATGAGAGCAGGGAATGAATGACAGAACTGAATGAGACGCGAAATGGTCAGCACAGTAGAAGAGCAAGCTTTCCCGGAGGTATCGTGAAAGATTTGCACGTTGAAAAGTAGAAATGTTTGCTCCGTGGAATGGCGTTATGTTTGGACTTGGAATGACGGCTGGAATTGGATGGGATTTTGTCGGCTATCCCACGAAATACTCCCGGCGCGACCGTCGTCGGATCTTGATTCAAGATTTACGATAGGACGAGATTCTGATTGGAACAAGTATAGCTAGCAATGCATTCGCCGAACTTTTTGCTGCTGAAGAATGAAAAATTATATTTATATATTTCTTGGCTGAATAATGTTTATCAAAAGCTCCTTCTATTATATTTTATTAGTAATTTTTTTATTTTTCTTTGTTTAAATAATTTAATAAAAATCGATTTTTATCTATGGTAATAAATAGATTTTTATTGTATTACAAGTATCTTTTAATCAACTTTCTATAAAATTATTATGGTTTTTATTTTAGTTTATCTTAATTTTTATTTGTCTACCTGCATAATTTGCAATCGTCATTGTTCCTAAAATCCTTACCAAATCTAATAAAAATGTTTCAACAAAAATTAAACAAAAATACAATAAATAAAAATGATAAAATTTCCAATAAATTTCGATTATATAATTTTTGATGAAATTTATTCTAATGATCCATAAATTCCTTTCTCGTCACCAGGTCGTACATCATAATGCGGCATATTTACGCTTCAACTATCTCCTTGCTTTTGTATACTTCGCCGGAAATTTTTCCGAAAAGCTCAAAAGAACGAAGTTGCTGGATGGAACGCAGTGGCTCTTCGTAAGTCCCGCCCATCGTCGGGTACCTCTCGATTGTGCCTCAGTCGAAGGCAGCCCTAATAACCCGGCGCAGCCTGGTAGGAAAAGCTACCCCCGGTGTGAGAAGCGAGACTCGAGCAGGGAAAACGGTCTTGCCTCGTAGTTCGAAACCCGCCCCTGCTGTCTATAGAAGAGCCAAGCACCGACAACGTCGTCGCGACGTCAGCTTCCAGCGCCATGGAAGGGCGCAATCGTCGACCGAAGTGTACCGCCGACAAAAGGACGCGATTATGTATCACGCCAAGACTCCTCTCGGAGCTCTTCCAAGGTAAGCCTGAAGCAGCCGTCATCTCTCGCGTCACTTTGCGTCTTTGTGACTCCGTTTTTCTCTCCGTGCTGCTTTTGTTTTACTAAATGCTGATGTATTATTGATGTTGCGAATTATATACATATTCATATTTCTAATTGATTTATTACTTTTTGCTTTCGGAATAATTGATCAAATAATTCATTAATTAACATTTCGTTATATTTTCTCAAACAGATTTTCTATGTTTTAAAAATTTGATATTTTTATTATAAAAATTAAAATAAAAAGTAGACTAATAAAATCCAGAACAAAGAGTAGAAAGACGCAATTAAATTATGTAGCAATTTGTTTAATTATATAATGTTTCGGTACTCTCTAGCAATCTGAATAATAAGAAAACAAATTTATTTGTCTTGACTTTTAATTCCCTCCAATTATCAATTTTCGTCTTCGGTAATCCTCCTTAATGATTCCAACTATTGAGAGATAAAAAGATTAATGAGATGATCGACATTATTGTAAAATGAGCCTTTATCTCTTAGCTAATCGCTTTATCCGCCTTAACTAATAGCTCTTCATCCTTTTTCTCATTTAGTCTTCTTTCTTATTCTTGCTCTTCTTGCCTCACTATAATATATTCTCGTTTTCTTATCTTTTTTTTTCCTTAAACGTGTAAAACTCTATCTCATTCGCGTGCCTCCCTTCCATCCTCTACTATCCTCTTTTCTTCAACTCTCCACGTCTTTATTTATTTTCTACTTCTCGTACGCGCTACTCTCTGCCTATTCTCTTCCTCTCATCGATCCCTCTTATTCTTCCACCCTTTAATTTTAATCCTTCCCTCACGTGATTTTCTCTTCTGCTTCATCTCTCTTCGCGCTGATCGCCTTCTCTGTTACTCGTCTCCAACATTATCTTCAGCTCTCTTCTCACACTCTCCTCATTCACACGCTTCTCCCTCTGCTGTCTTCACCCTGCCTCACTCATCCTCCTTCCCATTCTCACGCTTCTCCCTCTCCATCTCTTTTACTATCTTCCTGCCCCCTATACTCTCGCTCCCTCTCCCATTTCGCACGCTACCTGAAGCTATACTTTCGTCCTTCTCTTCGGTATCGCGTCAATCTGTATCTCCTTCCCACTATCCTCTTCTCGTTTCACTCCAGTCGACAGGGATAGCAAAGTGAGAGCCGCTGCCGACGGAGGGGATGAACGAGAACAGATTGGTGGAGGCTATCATCGGTCGCCCGAGGGTGCAAGAAGCGAGGGGTGGCGAATCGCGTCGTGGTGGGGGCTAGCATTGTTACAGTACTTAACGAGCGGCCGTGGCAATCAGTATCGTTCCCCGCTACCGGGACCCGTGGCACCCGGCAATTCTACCAATTTATATCAATCCCAGCCGAAGTATGGCCGACACGCAGCCAGAGACCATTTTGTTTTCTTAATGCCACTCGACCCTATCGACAACGTGTCCCACGCGATCGTCGACGCGGCCATTTGCTCCTTTCGGAGGCTGATGTATTTTCGCTCCAATTGTTCTCTCTTTGTGCGAGAAAAAAACATACTGGCCGAATAATCATACACAGTCACCCAGATAAAAGGCCAAAAAAGGGGATAAAAGGGGGATGCTCTGGCAAAAAAACGTGTATATAACAAAAAAGAGATATAATCATTCTTTTTCTTCTTGGCAATTATATTTTTGCATATATATGGAGAACATGTATGTATAATTGAAATAGGAAGATGATATGAATGTATTATGATGTAAACTGATTGTGAATGCATCATTGATTAAACATATTTATGTATAAAATACAGATGCTTCTATCTTCATGCAAAAAAAGATACCTCTCTAAGCGGAGAACATGTATGTATAATTGAAATAGGAAGATGATATGAATGTATTATGATGTAAACTGATTGTGAATGCATCATTGATTAAACATATTTATGTATAAAATACAGATGCTTCTATCTTCATGCAAAAAAAGATACCTCTCTAAGCGGAAACATGAAAAATAATTTAAAGAATCATATGTCAATCCTTTTTTATCAGAAATGTTATATTTTTGAATAATTGAAGAGAGAGAAATGAACTGCGAAATAAACTTAACATCGAGGCACGAAATGTTTATAACGGACGTTGCAAGTTTTGTATAAAAGACGCGCGGACTACGCGAAGCTAAGAGCCGGCTTTCGTGACTGGCTCAATAACACGGCAACCCCTTTGCGAGCAAGCGATCTATCTACTGGTAGGGATTAAATCGCGGGCGCTAAATGTACAAAGTTTACCGATGTGGTTACAAACGATCCGAAGAATCCAATCACCTCCAGTAAACTATTAACGAACGATGAGCGGATAGCTACGGACTTAAAGAAAGTTGAAGAGACTCGAAGGAACTTGAAATGGCTTTGCAAATTTGTTCGTCTCGTTGTCAGTCTGTTAATTATCTCTCTTTCTCTACCCTTCGATCCCTTTCGACCATCAAGATTTCGTTCTTTTATTTACTTCCTATCATAATCAAAGAAACAATTAAGATATTATACTCAACTGGACGTCATTCC